CCTGTACCAGGTGAACCTTCTTTCCACGTTTTGGAAGTTTTTGAGTGAAAACTTAGTGGAATGACTGGCTTTCATTTTTTGAGACACGAGCTCACTCAAGGAAAGAACACATCTTTGTATTCCCGGTATCAAACGCCGTAGTAGCAATGTAGTAAGTTAGCAACTTCTCGCTCAAAAAAAGCCGGCATCCCACCACTTTTCCTGCATTTTGAAATTGGGTGGGAGCTTTGCCACCGGCCGGCCTGTGCCCTTGGTCAGGTGAACTTCCGGGCTATGGTCGTTGTGATGTGATGATTTCCAATTCACGCTTCGCCAGCCTCTGCAGACATGAGAGCCTTTGCCAGAATCCACATACGTGAGCTCTCTGGATTGCCCGTGATTGGCTAGTATAATAGTGATCCCATAAAACGGGGAAATATGGTGAGTCTGTCACCCCCGATTGTTAGCGTTCACGTTCAGGGCTGAAACGGTAACGGCAGATTGCAATCTTAGGCCAGGAAGTAACATTCAGCTGTCTCCATCTCACATTCCACTTTCCTCCTTTCTCTTAAGTCATGACATCGGGTTTGTCACTGAGAGTTGTCACTTCTCTCTCGTGGATCTGGCTCTTCAGTCCACCCCTGCAAAGGCCCCCAGTCCCCTGGAACTTGTTCTTCTGAGCTCGGAGGCCTGCTGGCTGTTGCTCTCGTGCTCTCAGGACAGCGAGGCTGTCGGCTCCTTCCTCTCTGGGTTGCGCATCTCTGGGCTTCTTTTTATTTTCCACTTCCCAGCAGCAAGATCATTTTCTGTGATACGGAAACAAAAGCGTTATTGACTAGTTCTGAGTAGCGCTGTAGTCCTTCCAGGCATTTACACTACCCGCTCCCTCAGGCCGTGAGTCGTCTTCCTGGTTCCGTGGCTCAGGTAGATCAACAAAGCCCTCTGAGTTGACCACGCATTTTTCACAAGCCCCAATCGCTGTAGTCTCTGAAACTTCCTGACATGGTTCTTGAAAGGGCCAGGTTCCTCTTGGATGGATGGCCATAGGGAAGTCACCCAAGGACCATTTGCCTGTAGGCACTGTCTTAGAACAATTTCTCTGTGCTGGGGACAACCCCTTGTTCCTATTTTCAACGGGTCCCCGTATTGACTGGCTGCTCTTCTCGCCGCCCCATCTGCTCTGTGCCAGGCTTCCTTCTCTCACTCAGGCATTGCAGGGAGGGCCCCTCTGGACATCTTTCTTGCTCTCCTCCAACTCTAAATAAGGTGAGGAATATTTTTGAAATCATCCAAGGCAATTTAGTGCTGACAAGGGCAGGAAAAGTCAGGGGAGAGGATTAAAAATAACAGAAAAATGATAAGAAAAATTTGACATCTGCGATCGTCATCCCTGGAGGCTATCATGACGTGATTAGTCTTGCTCCTTCTCAGTCCCTCATGGGATCAGACGTTGGCCCTTCCCCTCCCTTCTATCCCCTCGTTCATGTGTGGGACACTCCTGGGTTTCCCTCCCTTCCCTTTTCTTCTCTCTACCTTCCTGCCTTAAATGAAAGATGCAAAGGTTAGACTATTTGATCCGTAAATCGGAAGTCCTCTCTAAATCTAATAACTTTTAATCTAATAACTTTTCTTTTCACATAGTGTAGTTACCTGAATCCACGTTCCTCCTCCCATCTCTGTGCATGGGACGCATCTGAAAGCTTGCTGGGCAGCGGTACTGATTTTTAGAGACACCACCCCTCATTGGGATCAACCCTTATTCACAGTGGTTATGATCCATAAGGTCACCACGAGCACTGAATCGGTGAATTAGGACCCACTGCTCCAAGGGACAATACACGGTTAGTTTTCTTCCAGTTTTGATCACATTTCTTTCATCAACTGGTCAGTACATGAATTGGCTTTATGTGTGTTTCTTTCTTTTTTTTAAAGTCAGTTTATTTTGAGGGAGAGAGAGCAAGCACGAGCAGGGGGAGGAGCAGAGAGAGAATCCCAAGCGGGCTCCATGCTGTCAGCACAGATCCTGATGCGGGGCTCGATCCCACAAACTGCAAGCTCACGACCTGAGCCAAAACCAAGAGTCGGATGTTTAACCGACTGAGCCACCCAAGCGCCCCGTGTGTGTTTCTTTTTAAAGACACCTTATTTAACATAGATTGTTAATTAATTACATTGAAGTCCCAACAGTAGCATTATAACTCAGGCCCAAAGGAGGCTTTTCCTGCACAAGTATTTTCCCCGGGAGGCACACCCCAGCCTTCCTGCCTCACCAGGCAGCACTTTAGCCCTGTACGTAGGGGCATTTTAAATGGTGAAATCAACGAAAAGCACAAAATGCAAGAAACACGACACTAAATGGATGGTGAAAAAGACACATGTTTGCAGCGTGGTGGCTAAAACAAGGAGATACAGCATTGCCTCATTCACCCTCAGCTGGGAACGCGTCACATCAAGTGGTTCAAAGTTTTGACCGCTCTGCACATCTCAGCAACTGACCACAAAAGCACAAGTGTCAATTTGGGGGTTATAAGTAAATTTTAGTGAGTAGGTGAGTTCACAAATATGAAATCTATGAGTGATGAAGATCAGCTGTATACACACAAGCACAGACATCCACTCATACACACACACACACACACACACACACATCCACATACATGACTCCCAGGCAGATCTCATCTGTCTCTGTTGTAACTACCAGGGCGAGGCGTGATGGGAGCCAGGGATCACGTCCGGCTCAGCGCTGTGCACACCATACTTTACGCAGCACCTGGCACGTTGTCCAGTAAGGTCAAGCCCACACTCACAGAGACTCTACACTCCCTCCACCATCTACTCCAGAAACATAGCCCACAACGATTAGATGTGATTTTATAAAAGCTGCCAAGGCCATTTTAAAGTTGCTCATCACGTCTTCACCTACTTTAGATACATAACTTTTATTATGATTGGCCCACTGAGGTAGCTCTTTATGGATCAAAAGCACACATTCATGTAGTTTCCAAGCCGAGAGTGTCTATTGTATATAAGTAGCTTGTTGATTCGACCACCATCTGGGATCACTGTGGGACTTTTATCCCCCACTTTTAATAAAGTAATGAACAGGGTAGTCCATTGGCTCAGTTCTGTGGGTTTTAACTCACTATTAATGTGGTTATGGCTCTATAGGCATTTGGGCTTGGGGGGCCCAAAGAGGGGAAATGAATTCGAAAATGTGTTTGTTAAAAAGCTCAAGATCTTTTGGAGGAGAGAAAATAGGCGTATTTCCACCTAGTGGCCAAAAACAACATGTGGTAACGTTGAAACGGGTCTGGACCATTAGGTATTTGTCTCTATACGTAAACATGAGCTGGTCTTCTTGTGAGGCAAAGGTTGGGGTGAGGAAAAGGAACTAGATGGGTCAAGGGAAATCTGTCAGGATGGCTGTGGAAGATATTATATGAAGGCAGTCCAATATAAGCTTTCAGAAACTCGAAACTGAATTCCAGCTTCACCACTAAAGAGCAAGGTGATTTGGGACAAGACACTCCGCTGTCCAGTCTCAGCTTTCTCACCTGTAAAGTGGAAATGATACAGCATAAGCCTATTTTAAGAATTAAATAAAATGATGCATAGAAATCAATTAGCACAGGGACGCCTGGGTGGGTGGCTCCGTCGGTTAAGCGCCGACTTCGGCTCAGGGCATGATCTTGTGGTTTGTGAGTTCAAGCCCCGCGTCGGGCTCTGTGCTGACAGCTCAGAGCCTGGAGCCTGCTTCGGAGTCTGTGTCTCTCTCTCTGCTCCTTCCCCACTCATGCTCTGTCTCTCAAAAATAAATAAACATTAAAAAAAAATTAAAAAAAAAATCAATTAGCACAGTGCTTGGCACATAGAAGCAGTCAGTAAGTGACAGGCATTGTTGTTATGTCTGTTTGAAAGGAGGGATGACAGCACTTATGTGTTGCAAACACGCATGCATTACCAGTAACAAGCCAACAGGATTGTAAAAATTGTAAGGAATAAGAATGTTCTATGCTTTGGTGCAGTAGGATCTATTGAATTATCTATCAGATAGATAATATAGGGGGTGCCTGGGTGGCTCAGGTGGCTCAGCCGAAGCATTCGACTTCGGCTCGGGTCATGACTCATGATCTCACGGTCCTTGAGTTCCAGGCCCACGTCAGGCTCTGTGCTGACAGCTCAGAGCCTGGAGCCTGTTTGGGATTCTGTGTTTCCTTTCCTCTCTGCCCCTCCCCCACTCGTTCTCTTTCAAAAATAAACATTAAAAAATTTTTTAAATGCATAATGTAAATAAGAGAGAATCCTAGATAAAATGACTGAAACTTTCTGTATATTTCTGCTTGACTCTATTTCAGTGGAAATGCACAAATAATGTTAAATGGGTCATATTTCTTTCCTATCCATCCACCAAAAATACAGGGCAGTAAGTTAATGACAAATGTAAATAGAAGATGTTCCAAATAAATAATGGGCCCTTACTGCCTTTTCAAGGAAATGGCACATGTTTAAAATATATTTCCAGGGTGACTGGGTGTCTCGATCGGTTAAGCATCCGACTTCGGCTCAGGTCATGATCTCCCGGCTCGTGAGTTGGAGCCCCACATCGGACTCTCTGCTGTCGGCACAGAGCCCGCTTCAGATCCTCTGTCTCCCTCTCTCTCTGCCCTTCCCCTGCCTGTACACTCTCTCTCTCTCTCTCTCTCTCTCTCTCTCCCCCTCTCTCAAAAATGACTAAACATGAAAACTTTTTATGAAATAGATTTCTAATCTTATCAAATTAACAGTATGTGATGTCAGGGTCTTGTCTGGTGTTGCATTCATAGCCTCCGGTAACAGGTCTGGATGCGTGGGAACGTGGGAACTCGAGAAAACAACCCCCAGCCGCTCTGAGGACTCCCTGCTTCCGTGCTCCCTCCCCACCCTTGAAGCCAGTGTTGGTCTTGTGGTTTCCGCCTGCTGTTGTCCCTTCCTATTTCTCATGGGTTGAATGTGTCCCCAGAAAGATATGTCAAAGTCCTAACCGCCAGTACCTGTGAATGTGACCTTCTCAGGAAGTAGCATCTTTGCAAGATCGAATCAAGATGGGAGTTGACTCCGAAGGAGGCTGAGCCCCTAATCCAATTGACTGGTGTCTTTATAAGAAGAGAGAAGAAACACACACAGAGTAGCAGGTGAGGACCCCGGCACACTCAGGGAGGACAGGGTAGGAGGACACCATGTAATGCTGGAGGGAGAGGCTCACGTGTCTTGCCTACAAGCTAAGGAAGGCCAGGGATGGCCGGAAACACCAGAAGCTGGAAGGGAGGCACAGAGCCTTCCCTCGCACCTTCAGAGAGAGGATCGCCCTGCTGACACCTGGATCCTGGACTTTCAGCCTCCAGGACCGGGAGAGGATACATTTCTGTTGCTTTAAGTCATCGGTTTGTGGTACTTCATTAAGGCAGCCCCAGGACACGAATAGACTATTCCTCCCAGAAGGTCTAGGGTGGCTGGGTGGTGGGAGTTTATCTGGGCAGTTTTTAATTCCCTGAAATTCTAACCCTATAAAATTATAGCAGGCTGCCTTTAAAGGAGAGGGGCAAGAGGGGACTAAAATCATTTGTGTTCAGAGCACATTGGGCAACAGGTGATGTAGAAAGAAATTGAACATGCAGAACCTCGTACAATGTCAGCCACTGGAGGGGTGGGGGGCAGACGGGGATCTTCCTCTCTCCAGGGCTGGGAGCCAGCTTCTGAAGCCTGGGATGCCAGCTGGTCTGCCTGTTTTCGTGAGGACAACATTGATTTAATCTGCCCGTGCCTGATCTTACACGGAAATTTCCAGGACATTTGCGTTGTCCTCTCTTCTCCTTCCCCACCACTTTCCAGCAGCCGGGGACTCCATCCCAGTGTAAGAGATCCACTCTGCCCCCTCCTAGTCAAGAGGAAATGGAACTCAAGTTGGTAGGCTTTGAACTAGCCTTGCTCGATTAACATACACCCTGCTTACCTCCACGATATGTGAACTCGGCTTGTTTGGACTGAGGAAATGCCCAATCATCCCATTGACACAGAGCCTAAAATAAGAAGCAAATGCCAGACTCCTTACGCAAAAGGGACTCCCCTGGCACCATAAAGCTTGTAATGGAAAACAATTCCGCTAGATGGAGCTCTACTGAAGGTTGAGCCTTGACCTCGTGTTCAGTATCGGCGGTTATGGGAGCAATTCCAGAATGAATGAGAGGATCTCAAGCAGGACTACCTGCGACCTGGGACAAACTTAGAAGACGATTTTACTCATCCTTAACGTTTGACGTAACCTTCAGATTAGGCAGAATTCTGGCTGCTTCCCTCATTAATAGTCTCACCTGTGAGCAGGTTCCTTCTACCTCCCGGCCCTGGAAGGGCTCAGGATCCACACACAAGCAAACCACAAGGTCAGATGGAAATAAGTCAAAGGAGGTTCTCAGGGCCCAGGGGCTTAATACAGGAGGCAACTCCCAGCCAGGTTAGCTTGGTGCCTGGCATGGAGGGGTGGGGTGGACAGAGAAGGCTTTGCCAGCATCTTGTCAGTGGATGCCATCTGTCCCTTGCTGGACTGAAGGGACGCTCTGGGCCTGTTAACAACCTTCTAGGACACTCTAAGTGATGGGATGGATTGACGGACAGGGTTGAGTGCATTTCTAGTTGGACAAGATAAAGGACCTGAACGGACTTCTCCCATAAAGATCATTGTAAGTATTTTAACACTGGCAGTTCTGCTGGGCATCAGGTAAAAACAAAGGGGACTAAATAAAGAGTAGTAAAGCTCTGAGAAGAGCTCTCTGATGCCACCACCATGTACCTTGAAAGGGGCCTCCCCTTTGCATTAGCCATGGAAGACTTTTCTTCCATATATATATATAATGAATCAGTGATTCATCACTTACATTCAACACCCAGGGCTCATCCCAACAAGTGCCCTCCTTAATGCCCGTCACCCATTTAACCCATTCCCCCCACCCACCTCCTCCTATAGCAACCCTCAGTTTGTTCTCTGGATTTAAGAGTCTCTTATGGTTTGCCTCCCTCTCTGTTTTTTATCTTATTTTTCCTTCCCTTCCCTTATGTTCATTTGTTCTTTTTCTTAAAATTCCACATGTGAGTGAAATCATATATTTATCTTTCTCTGACTGACTTATTTCACTTAGCATAATACCTTCTACTTCCATCCACACTGTTGCAAATGGCAAGATTTCATTATTTTTCATCACCAAGTAATATTTCATTCCACACACACACACACACACACACACACACACACCCCACATCTTCTTTATCCACTCATCAGTCAATGGGTATTTGGGCTCTTTCCATAATTTGACTATTGTTGATAACGCTGCTATAAACATTGGGGTACATGTGCCCCTTTGAATCAGCATTTTTTTTATCCTTTGGATAAGTACCTAGTAGTACAATTGCTGGGTCCTAGGGTAGTTCTATTTTTAGTTTTTCGAGGAACCACCACACTGTTTTCCCGAGTGGCTGCCCCAGCTTGCATTCCCACCAACAGTGCAAAAGAGACCCTCTTTCTCCGCATCCTCACCAACATCTGTTGTTGCCTGAGTTGTTCATGTGAGCCATTCTGACAGGTGGGAGGTGGTACCTCATTGTGGTTTTGATTTGCATTTCCCTGATGATGAGAGATGTGGAGTATCTTTTCATGTAAGACTTTGCTTTTTCGAAGTGACAAAGCGTCCTTTGAATACCAGCTTCATGACATCCTCCTCATCCTCAATTTCCCCCACTGTGAGTTGGCAAGAATAGTTCTTTCCTTGTGGTATCGTGATAAGGTTTGGAAATAACACCTGGAACTTTCTAGCAAAGGGGCTGGCATATAGCGCGTCCTCAATAAATAACTTTCTCCTTCTCTTCCTGCTGCTCTTCTCAGAACTTAGGAGCAGAGGGGCCCTAGAAACACAAGAGGTTGATGTAATGATTACGGATGAATCACCGAAGCAAAGCTGCGGAATACCTTGGCACAGATTTTTACCATAGGCGCATCTAGAGCAAGTTCCACTCTACCTCGCCAGCGTCGGTGCTGATTATTGGGTTATGACAGTGGGGAGGCGAGGGCGGGGCTCCCTGCTGTCTCCCAGTTTGCCCGCTGAACGGACCTAAGCACGGACCCAAAAAGTCAAAGCCAGGTGTGCTGACCTCCCCCAGACAATCGGCACAGGTGCCTCAGCAGCAGCTGCACATTCTGAGCTGTCCCCGGGACATTGTGCAACAGACGAATCGGATTTAGGGTGCCTTCCCTTTCTTCCCCCATATGCCTTTCTTGCCTCGCCCATCAGAGTTACAGTTCCCCGTCTTTCTGCCTTTTTGTCCTCCGTCAAAACTTCACCTCAGGGAAAAAACTGATTACCAGCAACTTTAAGTCAACAGACCTTCGTGAACTGCTCTCTCTCTCCCTAGACAGGAGTTTTCCTCATTTATTCACCACCGAGAAGGTGGTGCAAATGTTTTGGAAGGCAGGGATCTTCTGGGGTCCCTGAGATCACCCCCCAGGGCACCTCTGCTCTTCTGTCTCTCCAGGCTGCTGGAGGCACGGTGCACTTGCAAAGGCGTCCTCGGTAGCAGGTGGAGGTTTGTAATCGTTGGGTACCAGCTACTGGAGTTCCTGAAAAATGGCAGCAAACATCCATCAACAAACATCAGAGATGAAATACGAAACGCTTGGCATTTGGCAATATTTTTAAAACCGCGTTTACCAATGTCTTGCCTCTTTGCCAATTGTCAAAGTTGCCAAGTATCTCTGTAAAATTTGGCCTGGCCCCCCACCTCTCAAATTATGACCTTGGCTCAAGGAAAACATGATGTGAATTCAAGCAAGCCAAATGTATACTTGCGTTTGCCAAAATATCCTGATTTTATTCTACTCCTTTGTCAAACGCGTAAGGAAAGGGTGGCCTTAGGATGTGGGATAGATGCCTGGCTTTGACAGCCGGGAGGCCAAAACAGGGGTGGCCAGCGTGGAACTCCCTTAGCCAGCATTCTGGGCTCCCTCTTCCGCAGAAGGCGCTGTTAATCAATCTCAGCCTTTGTTCTCATGGGGCAGGGACAAAGCCTCACAATCCTTCCCAATGCGGCTGCTTGAGAGTGGGCGCTGAGCTGAAAAGTCTCATTAGAGTTTAACGTCGGCGCCCCGTGGGAAGGTCAGAGCCATCTACCAGTTGTGAAGTCCTTTAAGCCACCTACCAACTGCAGGGTAGGTGTTTCAAAAGAGGCAACGGGTTGCCCCGAAAATTCCTCCCAACTCCACTGTTGGCTGATGCCTAAAATTCTGTCACTAGACCATCCATCCCTAGAGTCCTTAACCTTAATGCCTACAGGGCAGACCCTGTGCTAAGTGCTATGTTTACAGGAAGCAAGACCTTTGCTTTCTGCACGTATCACACAGCCTCAGGTGGGTAGGGTTTGAGAAGGAGCCAGGGGGAGCATGGGAGGCAGAGGATTTAATCCCTGAGGGAGAAGAGAACAGAAGGAAGGCTGCAGGGCTAAATATTTCCCTCCCTGTCCTACCTCAGGCTGGCCTTCGGTTAACACAAGAGAACGTGAGTAGAAGCTGACATTTCCCCCCAGAATCATCCAATGCCCGTATCCAACAGGATTCGGGCAACTCTCCCTTTGGGCAGAAGAGAAGCAGGTGCAAGTATCTGCTGTGTGATCAAGTCACTGGAAAAATGTTAAGTATCTGTGCTGGTGCTGTTGTTACAAAATTATATATTGTTGTTTTCTCCTTGTTATTACAAAACTACATATTGTTACTCCCTCTGAAAGAGTGAGTGTTACCTTTACAGGACAGAAACTCCCAGAATGCTATGCCTGCTCCAGCACCGGGCCTCCCGTATTTCAAACCTAGAGTGGATTCTTTTTAACAACTCCCGTACCATTCACACAGTAAGTTGAATAATATCACGAATTTAAAGAAATTCGGCAGGGAATGAAATTTTTCTTTTATTGCACTTCACATACATAATCATGGAAGTTAAATAAATTGATGAATAATAAACAAATAAATAATAGTACATTACCAAAAAAGGGGAGGGGAGTAAAGACGTCTTTTTTTTTTTTTTTTTTTTTTTTTAAGGAAAGGGAGATCTTTTGCCTACATGTCGGTAACAAATAGAACATTACAGTTTTTGTCTTTGAGACATGTCTACACATTTGACAATGATTTCGTCAAAATCGATCCTGAATTGTCCCCTTCAATAGGCACATAGCCAGATTTGCCAATGTGTCACATAGTTCATTGGGGAATATGTTTTGCTCCTTTTAATTGCTAAAGTTATCTCTCCTTTTAAAAATTGAAGTGTAGCTGACATACGCTGAAGTTTTCCCTATAACAAGAGGCATCTAAGTCGAGAAGGAAAGCCTTAAACATAAAGATAAATTTGGCAGATACCCATCCCATGTCACAGCAAATTCCAGAAAGGGCAATACAGTTCACATCTTTGTTTCTTTGTTTCTTCAGGACCAGTTCTAGCAGCTCTCAAGTGTCTTCACCGTGGACAAACTTTCACCAAACGCCCATCGCCGGCAAATGTATCACAAATTTCTATTGTATTTGGGTCTCAAGTTTTACACGTGCAAAAACCAGAGAAAGTATCCAAAAGACGGCAAATAGGGACTTGTCTGAGCCGTTGTGTTCTTGTCCAGTTCCTAGAGAAAGTGATTCGGGCTTCAAACACTGCCCTTTGAATTTCATCAGGCAATCTAAGACTGGAACCTTTGGTCATTTCTCCTAACGTTTCTTCCCTAAATTTGATTCTTTTATCTATTTCCTCACTTTGTTGTTGTTGTTGCTTTGCAGAAGTAATTGTCCTCTCCACAGTTTGTTTGCACTGACCTCAAGGAATCATTTTAAAGTGTTGTGTGCCTTGTTCAAGGTGGATTCTGCCAGTTTGCAAATATTTTTGTATCAACTTCTTGTCTGGGTCTTCAAGGCTCCCATTGTTTCCTTCTCAAAGGCTATTTGGCAACAAAGGCGTGGCCAGTGAACTTCCAAGTGGAATACAGCATTTTTTAAAAGGATAAAGAATAAGAATGTGCTAATTTAGGCTTAAGGACATAGTGCTAAACTCAACAGTAAGCACAGTTGTCTAGAACTTGGACCAAGGAAAGATTATTCAGGGCAGAATGTTGGATCAGTAACGTTACTTAAGATTTGCCAGTGCAAGGTTATAGTGAAAAACAGACCAACTTTCAGATGGCTTTGCTAACGGTTTTAAATTCTCTGCAGACAATGACCCCTTCGTCTTATCCTGCACCAGGCAGAGCCCTCCCACTGCCCACCTTTTAACCCACAACCTCTATGTAGAAGAGTCACTGCCTCCACACTGGGGTTCGGATCTCAGGCACATCCCCCTCTGCTGTCACAACCCCACAACTTCTTGCTGTCACGCTGGTTTCCTTATAGAGGATTAAACAGATGTATTTATTTTTTTAAATAAAGTTTATTTATTTTGAGAGACAGAGAGTGTGGGAGGGGCAGAGAAGGAGGGAGAGAAGGGATCCCAAGCAGGTGCTACACAGTCAACGTGGAGCCCGATGCAGGGCTTGAATTCACGAACTTGAGCTGAAATCAAAAGCTGGATGCTTGGGGCGCCTGGGTGGCGCAGTCGGTTGAGCGTCCGACTTCAGCCAGGTCACGAACTCGTGGTCCATGAGTTCGAGCCCCGCGTCAGGCTCTGGGCTGATGGCTCAGAGCCTGGAGCCTGTTTCCGATTCTGTGTCTCCCTCTCTCTCTGCCCCTCCCCCGTTCATGCTCTGTCTCTGTCTGTCCCATAAATAAATAAAATCGTTAAAAAAAAATTAAAAAAAAAAAAAAGCTGGATGCTTAACTGACTGAGCCACCCAGGCGCCCCTAAACAGATGTAAAAACCGAAATCCCACAGGTTGATTTTTCTCCCGTTCAAGCTGCAACCCCTTGCCTGGGAAGGGACCCAAGGATATCAGAGTCCAGTCCCCATTCCTCTAGGGTCAAGGCCAGCTGTTCGCAGGGAATACGGGGTTCCTTCTGGGCCTTCCCTCCTGCTCCCTGTACATCCTCTTCTTCCTGGCATCTGCAAAGTGAGGTTCTTGTCTCTTTCCAACCACTAATTACCTTTGGGATCCTGGAACAATGACTTTTCTTCCTGCTTCCTCACAAGCAGACTTTCAACTGAGTCATTTGTAAGCCTCCTTCTAATGTCCCCAGGCGCTGGCTGTGAGGTCAGATGACTTTGGCTGCCCATCCAGGGCTCCTGCACATGATGCCAGTGCAGTGAAAGGTCAGCTCCTGGCGCCCCCTCTCTCACACTGTTCCCTGTGCCCCATCCCCGGGGCACCGCGGACCCTTCAGACTGTCATGTTTCCTTGTTTGGCATTTTCTGAACCGTTGGGCTCTGGAGACTTCCAGATGTCTTTCTGTAACGGTCAGAGCGGGATTTCCTGGGCAAAATGTTTCCTCTGCAAACATTCTTGTTTGTCGTGGCACTGCCCTCAGAATGTGCAGGAAGGATTTCTTAAATTTTTTTTTCAACGTTTTTATTTATTTATGGGACAGACAGAGACAGAGCATGAACGGGGGAGGGGCAGAGAGAGAGGGAGACACAGAATCGGAAACAGGCTCCAGGCTCCGAGCCATCAGCCCAGAGCCCGACGCGGGGCTCGAACTCACGGACCGTGAGATCGTGACCTGGCTGAAGTTGGACGCTTAACCGACTGCGCCACCCAGGCGCCCCAGCAGGAAGGATTTCTAAAGGACAACTCCAGGGACGCCTGAGTGGCTCAGTCAGTTAAGCATCTGACTCTTGGCTTTGGCTCTGCTCATGATCTCATGATCGGTGAGTTCAAGCCTCACATCTAGTTCTGTGCCGACAATGGAGAGTCTGCTTGGGATTCATTCTCTCCTCCTCCTCCTCCTCCCCCTCCTCTTCCTCCTCCCCTCCTCCTCCCCCTCCTCTTCCTCCTCCTCCCCCTCCCCCTCCTCTTCCTCTTCCTCTTCCTCCCCCTCCCCCTCCTCCCCCTCCCTCTCCCTCTCCTCCTCTTCCTCCTCCCCCTCCTCCCCCTCCTCTTCCTCCTCCTCTCTCTCTCCCTCTTAAAATAAATAAACTTAAAAACAATAAAAAATAAAAGACAACCCAGCCTGTACATGCCACGCACCAACCAGCGGTGGAAGATAGAGATGGAATGGTTATTCCCATTTTACAGATGGGGCCCTTGAGTTCTTGAGGGTTGAAATGCACTGCCATGGTGGCGCACGCAGCAGAACTGGGACTAAAACACTCCCATCCCCGATGTCTTCGTTACTCCTCCAAACCCACTCCAAAGAGCTGAGCTCAGGCTTGGCCCACGCCCAGTCATCCCAGTGATACAACTGCTACCCAGCATGCACTCGGCTGCAGAGTATGAACAGATCCCGCGCCTTGCCTCTAAGAATTTATGTTTCGAAAATCACAAGATTTGCACAGTGAGCATGAAGATGTCTGTAGAAATAGAAAAAAGGAGTGAGAATATAGCAATCGCTTATTTTTATGCCTTCATATGTTTTTCTATCAGGACATAAAAATCTCTTACCTCTATCCGGCAACAACATATTTAGGAAACGGTCCCCCCGAAAGCTATAGACCAGGGATGACAAATGTGTGACATGTGCCCTCGTAGTCCCTGGGGACCTTTGTGGTAGATGGTCCCCCCCCCCCCATCATGGCTCTCTTCCCACTTAGCACAGATGCGGCCTCAGAATCCTTCCTAACACAGCCCGCTGC